GTTTTTAGTATTTCGGCCGTTTCATGACTCAAAACTTTAAAAGTTCTCAGTCTGGCAGTAGTCAAACCGTGTACACAAAAAACGTTGACTTGTCACAGGCGGCATTTGCTTTCGGTAGGTTCGATATAAAATAATGTTTTATGTAATAAGATCTAAAGGAAAAAATTAATACAAATTTATTTCCACAAATAGAAAATTAATATTTTTAAGTTTTTTAAAAAGTTGAAAGAAGAATTTGTGAAAAATACATGAAAAGAAATATCTAAAAATTTAAAAACAAAAATCTGAAAAAGTAACTTTATTGAATTATCAAAGTAGGTATGTAGGGCGCTCAAGCTTGCTAGAATATCAAAACTTTACAGCACTGCTCTCGTCGTGTTTAAGTTTCCTATATAATTATTTTGATGATCCAACAAAATTATTTTCAAGTCTACATCGCTAACTAAATTTTTAAACATTTAGCAAATGTTCTTTCGTGTATGGTATGTTCATTATAATTACATACCACCATTATATTATAATATGTATAAAAAACTTATCCGCTTATTAATTCATATTCGATTTATTCCTAATAATCTGAATCAATTTAAATACAACTTCATGAAAAGAGCGAAATCATTACGTGAAGTATTTCTTACAATTCAGAAAATTATTACAACGGCTTTCATTTCCATTGATAACACAAGTACTTTTCTCCACGATTGAATATGTGTAATTCAAAGAGATTTGTTGTCCGAAAGTTCCAGCTTATTCGAGCAGAAAGCGGCACGTGTTGTCGGTCATTCGCGGTATAAAAATCAAGAGGAGTTTTATCGTCGTCCGCGTTGTTCGTGCTCGCGTTGTTAATTTCCAGACAGACAGATAAAAAAAATTCAGTCGGGAACGCGTATCCGCCCCTGAATGACCCACAGCGAGACAACGACTACTATCGGGTCCATTATGTGTCGCAAATAAAGCGATATCGCGTTTGCAGTTTTACAGCACACGATCTGTCCGTCGCTCTCAACGCGAGCGTACTGATCGTGGAGACAGGACTGACAGCTGCGCGAGTAATACGGCGCGATTTTTTGCATCTTCTGCATTTCGATGCACCTACACGCGAGAAAATGTCGCGGAAAATCACCTCGTCGTTGTTATTGTCATTGACATCCTCAAGCTGCAGCTCCTCGCTCTTGTTATTCTCGTGACCATTTTGCTGCGGCTTAGCGTCGGAAATCTGATCATCCACTTTGTCCACCGTCGTTGACATCGTCCCTTCCGAATATCTAAAACACGCAAAACATCACTTAAAATCTATTCAACGAAGGCAGACACAATGTTGATAAACCTAATCTGATGTTACACAGTAAAAAAGGAAATGTTAATTTTAACATTTTTTACATGTCCCAGGAGATCCACTCTAAATTTTAAGTTAAAGTAACTCATTCGTCTTGTGTTATTTATTAACGAACTAGTAATGTTAAATAATTGACACAATACTTTACATTTATATTTGTTATTTTGACTTTAAGGATGATTTAAAACTAACATATAAAATAAGTAGAGTACATAGAAGAGTAGTTGCAGTAACTCGTAAGAAAATGTTAATAAAACATTTTTGTTCGTATAATGTGAATGAAAAAATTCTTAGATATTAAATTGACTTTGAGATATATAGATTAATTGAAACAATTGTATTAAAAACACTCAAAATAATATTCCATTTTTAATTGACATACGCAATTGTTAAGTTAGAAAGGTGACATGAATCTAACACATCAAAATATTACAAAAATAATAACATATCAGTTGTATGTTGATTTTACATTAAAGTTATAATCAAAATGTGGTAACACAAGAAAAATTCTACATATAGACGCACGATTTTTTACTGTGTAAAGATACACTTGATTTACCAAAGACATAAAGCGTGGCCTTACCATCCGTATCTAAATAGTACATCAAATGTGGTCAACAAAAATGAGAGAAAGGAAGCATGAATACAGCCAATCTCCTTCTCTTTCTAAGATATTGTGATTGGTTGAATAGAAAGAGATAGAGATAGGTCGTCTTTTTACGTCCTACTTTTTTCTTTAGTTTTTGTCAACTAATTTTACGCATGGATGGCGCAGTTCATGCTTTATTTATATCTTTGACTTATACTCTGAAAGAAACATAGTAGATCTACGGAAAGAATGGTTTCGCTAAATATTTAAAAATTTAGCTCGATACAGAGAGATCTGTAAATAATTTTATTGAATTATCAAAATAATTATATAGGACGTTTAAACTGATTGCTAAGATGTTAAATTCTTGCACAAAAACCAGTGCTTTTAGCTGCATTGGTTATCGGGTTTGAATTCATTATATATATAATTATTTTGATAGTCCAATAAAAATATTTTTTAGAGCTGTATCTATCTAAATGTTTAAATACTTCAGCAAAATTTGATCTTTTAGTGTAGTTAACTTATAAAGGTAACAATTATACTATAATAAGATTTATATGTAGAATAAATGTATATAGTTGAATAAACTAATGTACATAGTTTAATCAATTATTTTCTATTTGCAATAATTATAAAAAATTTATCTATTTATTATATATAATATTGTTATGTAATTATTATAATTATATATAATGTATACTAATAAACATAGAGAATCTAAATTATTTTCTTACTTGTTATGTATACTAATTACATATACAAAATTTGTATGGTTGTCACTTTTAAGACTTTTTAAAATTGCTACTATTGTCTTTTTCTCTATAAGTGTAGGGTAAACTTGGGTAACATGGCCATCTTTAAAATACAAAAATCATTTTTTTAAATTATTTTTAATAGCCGTTAATATAAGTTATATTTAACGATTCCGCCATATGGAAAAGATACACCAATATAACACTATTAAAGATAACAAAAATTAAAGTATGTTTTTTGCATTTTAAAGATGGCCATTTTACCCACAAATTTACTCTCAAGGGGGTAACCACTAGCTGAAATATTGTCCCACAGATTACATGATTTCATCTGATTACAAATAATTTTTTTCACTACTATGAAGTAATTTGGTAAAATATACGATTTTATTTAATATTATACAATGATTTCTCGTGGTTGCATATATAATTATCGGATTATATATAGAGATTTTATATAAATTTTATAATGATTTCGAGAATTCTGTCCCACGATTACATTAAGTGGTTACTCTCGTTTACTCTATATATTAATGAAAACTTAAAGAAGATCACATTTAGCGACTAGAATAGGAATTAACAAATATGGCCCGCCACTTATTTTATTATGATTTGCGTAATCATTATTACATTTTGAAATTTATTAATAAAACATTTGTTTTTCTCGAGTACTATTGCAAAAATGAAGATATTACATCTTGTAATCGATTTGCTAATGCGATGTTTTTGTCCCCAATGTTTATCTATTATACAGTGATATCTATTACGACAGTTTTGTTTGAAATGGACGATAAACTAAAAAAAAATGTCTTGATAAATTACGCATCGTCTTATTAATACATAAGAATCTCTTACTAACTTTATATTCTTTTTGCAAAATTTTACAATAACATTCCACAATTCCACTGAGAATAAGTGCCCAGGATTAATCTGATTCGAAGGAATGCTTCTCTAAAATAACATGAATAATTTAAGCGACGTATATCTACTGTATCGTAATGCAATAGAACTTGAGTGTGTGATTCCTGTCATTCGCATCAACGTCCAATCAGTTTAAATTCATTTTTTTAAAAAAGATTAGATATATAGATTTCACAAACAGATTGCATGTCGTTTTATGGCATGCTCGAATATACAATATGTTCATGAAATAAATGATGTAATTACATTAAGAAAAAAGTTATAGTAATGATAAAAAAGCAATTATTTACAAATGGTCGATTTTCCTTGGTCAGTTTTGTTAAAATTGCAAAATATGATATTTTTTTATTATAGGAGTAAAATCGAAGATAATTATGACAAAATACGACAAGTATTAGGTCGGTAGGAAAATAATGTCGATTTTCCGTATTATAAAATGATGGTTTCCTTTTCCAATATATTCTGCAATATTTGCGATTATACCATTCGATAGAGCAAAGTTTCAGCTTTAAGAATCTACTTTTTTTTTATTGCGATATAATGATTTTTAACGGAATGAAAAAACAATCAAATTCAGAATGCTCCTTTTACTTAATCCGCGAGTAACTCAGGAACAAAAAATCGTAGAAACATATTTAAAAAATGATTTTGTAGGGAAAAGTTCGAACTTTCACGTTAGATAGTCAAAAATTTTCTCAATTTTTTTTTGGCACGTGACATACTTACAAAGTAAGAAGAAAATTTTTCATTTTTTTAGCTGGTAGTTTTCTATATGTAAAAATTACCAAATTCACATAAACTCAAAAAATATAGTAACCATTCAAAAGTAGAGATTTCAGGCTTTAAAATCTTTTTTTAAATTTAAATTTTTATTATTTTTTAATGAATTTACAGCTGCTCTTAGTAATAATCAGAAATCTTAATAGTACAATAAAACACAGAAAACCGACATTATTTTTCTATACCGACTTAATATTTTCGATTTATCTCAAGGAAAATCTACTTAGTTTAAATCAAAATCATACCAATATAGATAAAAATTATCTCTTTGCATTACGCTATCTGAAACATCTTACATTACATAACATCCAAAAGATATTGTAAGAAGACTCAAAGGCAAGTCCGCCATTTTCTTCATATTAACACAATAGCCCTTTCTTTTCCTCACGTGTGCATATACAAAGTAATAACATCAAGATAAAGGAGTGATTTAATTGTTAATTCTCTCTCTCACTATCGATGAAAGTGAAGTGTTGAACTGTTTGATGGTCACATGACGGTAAGTTTTCGTAGTAGTTTTGACTCGCCTTGATCTTTCGAAATTCAGCTTTTCGTGATCTTTGTATTCAAATTCAACCGCAGGCATAGTGTTTTCGTTATATGACACTTGATAGACGTTTAAATGATAAGAGCTACTTGAAGATATGTTACATGAGCTGATTGTTTATTGGTGTCATCATTAATTGTTGTTAATTCTGGAATTTAATAGCGACAATATAGTCGATAGCTAAGATTGCAATTCGTTATCAAGAACAGTGAATAAACAGAATTTATAGGATTAGATGGTTTTGAAAGTTTCGTTATCGCAATCAACCGTTTTGCCATTATGTTAACAAGTTTACTTTTAGAAATGCTTTAATTAATTCAAAATTTTTCGTTATCGAGAATTTGATTAATTGATTTCTTTATCGGGAAATTATTGTTTGATGACGCGTGAATTAATCTTTAATTAATCATTATTAGATATTTTCAAAACTAATCTTAGAATTAATGAAGAAAATTTAGTAAAAATATTACTAAATGTTTTACTATTTATTTATTTTTTTTCTTAATTCTTGAGATCTATAATTTCAATTGCTTGCAGTTTATTGATTCTTAGTGACAAAGTTGGCTCATTTGTGATTAAGAAAGTATAAATAGTAAATTAATCAAAAAATTTTCAATCTCACATACACAGAGAACATAATTCGAGATAAATTTATACCCTATACGATTAAATAAAAAAGGATTAAAACAATCAAAATCATTCAAGTTTTACTTATTGATTGAATAGATATTTACAAAAAGTCAATGGAAATTATAATTATAATAATGTTTTACACATTTAAAATACCGAATCTATCTTGTAAATCTCGAGTTTGTCTTATAAATCGATGATAAGATAAGCTAGCTCAAATCCAATTAGATAGATATATTAATATTAAAAATATATTTAAAAAATATTGTTTGCTGTGATTGAGAAGATGTTTAAGCAAAATATTTATATCTTATACAACATACAAATAACTTTAATTCAGAGCATTCTTAAATATTCGATACCAGTTTCATTGCTTGACCGATTGCGTCAACTCCTTCTCTTTCTCATTTTTTCCTTTTTTTACTTTTTATGGCGCCTTGCAATATACATGTGATTATGCTGTCTGTGTCTCAGATATAGTATCAAAAACGATTAAAAATTATGACCTCATCTTACGCGCATATACATGCTACTTGCAAAAAATTGTATTATGCACAGCTTCAACAATTATCACGCAAACAGAATCGTGTAAACTTTCCTAATGGATAACTGATACATTTATTTTTAGCTGACTTCGCTTATTTTATTATCTGCAATGATCTGAAAAAGGAGAAAGTAAATTCGGTAGTAGAAACTGCAATATTGTT